GGGGGAAATCAGTGAATTTTCAGGGATTGGGGACACCACTTTTTGCCACTCAACCGCTTTATTTGCTTTAAAACAAACAAACAAAAGCTTTCTGACTTCTTTGTCTCAGTGTCCATGAGACAATCAGTTGCCCAACCTCGTTCCTGTTTTTCACAAAATGGCCTGGTGGGAACATCTTGGGACCCCTCAAGACTGTTGGTGTTCATTCTGTCTCATATCATTAATGTAATAATAGTGCATAAGTGATGGGTTTATACTAGACCGTTCCACACATCATTCTGTTTTGTTAGTTTTTCTGTGATTCTTCCCCACCATTACCACATTATTACTGTCTGGAGGGGCACCCCGGCATTATAGTTCAATGAAAATGGAACAAAAAAAAGCCCAGACATTGCTTGTATAAGTGACAGGATTCCAGCAAGAAGTTTCAGGACATGCACTAATTGGCCAACGAAGCAGCATGTCTGCCCCAAAATTTTTAGAGGTGTGAACAGAATGAAAACAGGATTACATATAACCTCCCCAAGACCATTTGGAGCACAGGCCATTAAGGATTCTTCAGCTGTGATTCCTGCATTGCTGGACTAGATGTCCCAACTCTACAATTCTGTGGTTCTATGGACATGCAGTACAGCCTAACAACATCAGGAAGGCTACAAGTTTCCCAACCTTGCTTTGGGCTGTTCTTCTGGAAGGAGCAGTTTATAACCCAGCCTTGGCCAGCAGAGAAGGGGGGTGGAATTATGCTCCCAAATGCCTGCCCCCCAAAAGGTGTTTCATTGAGCTCCCCCTCCTCCTCCTCTTCCAAGTAGCAGAAGAAAATGCAACTCTGCTCTAGGCACAGCAGGGGAGCCTGTTCCTTGCTTGGCCCCATGCTGTGCTCACCACATCCCTGTCTAATCCAGAGAGGATGACTTTAGCTTTTTACTAAGGCGATTGCATCAGCACTGGTCAGGAAACCTGGAAGCAGAGGGAGGGCATTTCCTAAAGGAATGTGAATTTTTAGGAGGACGCCTCCAAAAGAGGGATGAGGAACCTCTGGTGCAAGGCCCAAATGTGGCCCTCAGGACCCAGGCCAGGCCAAACACCCCTTCAGGTGACACCCACCACCAACCTTGCATCTCATCCCCAAGTGTTTTTGCCAGGCTGGAATGTGTCCTTGAAATCTAATGTCTCCAGTTGGTGAACATGTGCAGAAACTACCCTACTATACATACGTTTTAAATAAAAATAAATGCATTCATTGCCCTGCCCACTTTTACCTCTGGCCCCACCCATCACTGGCATATGGCCCCTGGAAGATTGCCCAGAAGGAAATGTGGCCCTCAGGCTGCAAAAAGGACTCCCCAACTGTGATCTAATATGACAGGGAGCATTGATACTTTGTGCTATGGCACCTGGGTTGGATTTCCCTCCCTGCCAAACCACAGTATTGTATTTTGGGGAGACAGTGGCCAGGAATGTGGGTGGGGGGAAACGGGCAAAAGCATGGGAAATGGAGCTTCGTACCCTCATTTGAAATGGCAGCCACCTCAGGAGAAAAAAAGAATATCAAATTTAAGGGGGAAAAGTGGCCTTGCACTTGTGAAAAAGCTTGAGCTCTGAGAAATTCCTATATTTCTGTGCAGTCTGGCAACCCAGCACAGAAAGCGTTGCGGGAATATTGGAACATGTGACATGGAGCATAAGATCCCTCCAAACTCCCCTGTAGTGATAATTTTACTTTTGCTAAGAAGTGTGACAACAATGCTTTCTGTTGGTGCTGCTGGGGTTCAGGTCAGATGTTCTTGATCCAAGTGGAAGCTGGCATCTCTCCCCCCCCCATGAGCCCCACTATGGACTCTTCTAGATTTCCATTTATTGTGCATTCATGATGACTGGCACTCATGATTGTGTCAGGGCAGGTATAATCCCACTCCTAATACAGTTTGCACCCCTATTACCCTCACAGAGCAACAACCCCCCGAGTTTCCTATGAAGAGGGATGAATTGTTAAACCACTCTGGGAATTGTATTTTTGGGAGAAGAATAGGGGTCTCCTGTAGCTCAGCACCCTTAACTAATTTCAGCGCCTGAAATTCTTTGGGGGAAGCCATAGCGATATGTTTTCGCATTGCTTTCTTCAGAATATGGTGAGTCAGTCTACCCCTTTGCTCATTCTGTGGGGCCCTGGACTACTCCCTGGCAAGTCCCACACTGACAGCACTGACGGGAACTTTTTCGGTCTACAACCACACCTCCACCCATCCCCATGTTCTTCTTTCATGAAAGTTCCCATTTGTGATGAGAAATGTCACAAATGGAAAGCAGAAATAGCTAAACCTTTGGCTAAGTAGCTGTTCTTGGATGCCACCAAAGCTTCTCTTGCCATGTGGATTTGTTAATTTGCTGCGGTGCAAACAGACTGATGGGCACAATTTATGACTTCTGAAAAGTAAAGACACTGCAAACCCACCCTTTAAAGAGGAAAATGAAACACTTAAAGCTTTTTGTTTTCTGCTTACTAAAGTGGTTTGTTGCTAAGGAACTGAATGAACCATTGCCCATTAGCATACATCCACAGCTTGTTGTGTAATGCCAATATTTTCTCTGCAAAGATGGCATGCTAAGTTGGCCCTACAGAGCAGAGCAGATATGATCAATGGGTTGCTTTTGCGGTCCAGAAGTCATTCCATGTCCCACAGTGGCTGTAAAAAGCGGTTTCTCTCTTAGTTGGGTGTGTGTTTTTTAAATCCACAACCAAATTCTTTGAAACTCTTGTTCAGAAGTCATTCAAATTCCAAACTTCTCGGCTTGTTTAGCATCAAAATTAAGAAAAAACACAACCCTATCCATGCCTACTTAGAAGAGAGGTGAGGAACTTACAGCCCATTGACCAAATTTGGCGCAACACTGGTCCCAATTTGACTCAGGAGGCCACTTCCCCAAAACCACACCCATCTGCCTCACAGCTGGTGTCATATGTGACATCAGGTGGGCGGCAGGTAGAGATGTCGCCGCAAAATGGGGGCCCTGAGCGTGCAGCCCACCCTTTCTGAAGTTGTTAGGAGATGCTTATTTCCCCCATTCCCTTCCCAGGGAATATTGGGCACTGTATCTCTCTGAGGAAATAGGGTCTCCTAACAACTCTCATCACCCTTAAACTACACTTCCCGGTATTTTTTTGTTTTTTTGGGGGGGGAGCCATGACTCTTAAAGTGATATAACACAAGTTGTGTGTTACACGTAATAATTAATTTTAATTTTTTATATTTAAATGCTTGTTATACTTATATTGTCCTTTGTATTTTTTATATATATTTTTTATGATCTGTGATGTGTGTGTTGGCGCTGGTCTGTGACCGTATTAATAAATTCATTCATTCACAAGTCGTGGGTGGGGATCCTCAGACCTTGCTAGTTTGGATGGAGAATCGAAAGGCACATCCCTGGCCTGTGCCCCTTGGAATGTTGCCCTGAAGGAAATGTGGCCCTTAAGGCTGTAAACATTCCCCACCCCTCTTCTAAGGTCTGCTCCCTTTGCGTGTAAGCAGATTGTTGTCTTTCCTAATATAAATCAGACCAGACTAAGCTGAACTTAGGTAGTTGTCAGCTACCAAACAGCTAGTTGTATGCTTCCTATATACAGTAAAGCTTCCCTCCACCACCAGTGCAAGTTACTCTTGTCTGATCACAGCAAACCAGAGCTGTCAGACTGCCTGCGTTGGCACCAAGTCGGTGCAGCTGGAGGTCGAAGAACATGGTTTTTACAGTTGCAATATGGTTGATGCAGCCCGTGAGGCCTTGCTGTTTGGATAATAATTACCTCCTATTGACAACAGCTGAGCTTCTCTGAGAAGCGCACAAAATCAATGCGCTGGGCATGACTAGATGGATGACAGGAGCTCCCTGTATTACTCAGGAGGAACTTTCCAGGGGAAGATCAGGCCAGACTGGCTGCTTCTCCATTTGACTGATGAATAAACTTATTAAGGGCCTGACAGGGTGCCCTCCAGAGGAACCATCTGCCAGCATTACTCGCGCAGAGTTACAACAGCAAGGTAGCGGTTATGTTTTAGTCATGAGTGCCAACAAGTGGTTTCAGCAGGTTCTTTCTAGGGGAAAGAAAAGACTCTGAGCCTGCCAAGTATTTGGAAGATACTGAAGGAATGAACATGGCACTAGGTAGGCAAACAATTACTTATGAAGCGAAGCAGCCACTACGTCAAGGGGCTTGGCACCCGGAAGCTAGAGAATGCTGGAGGCCATAGACTTGTGCAGCGCATGTCAGGAGGGTGCGCGCTTAGAGATTCATTTCTTTCCATGTCAATGAAGGGAGAAGGAAGCTGGGGGGATGACAAGACAAATAAAGGCAATGAAAGTGTAAAGAAGAAAGGGGTTAACAACCACAAGAGCAGAAAAGAAGCCCAAAGAGATTTTGTTCCTGCAGAGAAAAAGACCTGTGCCAAGCTAACCAGAGGCAAGGTGGACCTGAAGGACAGGGGGGGCTCCTCCTTCTCCTCCTCCTTGCCTGCATGCCACAAAAGATGCCTCTCATCCCTACAGATCTCTCTCCATAAAAAGTGGTGAGCAGAGCAGGGCCATGAGCCATGAGACAGACAAATGCAGGCAGGAGAAAAAGGCTGGGGTGAATCTGCAGCTTCTGCCTGCGACTGTCTCTGGAACTGGTGGGGGGGGGGTTGGTTCCAGTGGCAACAGTAAGAGAAGAAGAGGGAAGGGAGCCAATCAACAACAACACAACAGGCAGAAGCTGCAAGTCCATCCCAGCCTTTTCTTCTGCCTGCATCGCTCTCAGTCTGCTTCCCTCCTTCATCCCTTCCAGCTTTGTTGCTACCCTACCGCTGCTTCTCCACAGGTTGTGGCAGCTGAGGTAGCTACTCTCCCCTCTCTTTTGCCACAATCCCCATTTAACAACAACATGCCTATGCTGGAGACTTTGGAAGGAAAAACCTCCATCCTTCCCCTTCCACCTTATTGTCCGATTACGTCTCCACCATTAGTTTCCATCTAAAATAAAATAGTTTTATTGCATGTATGATGGCTTTGTAATAAATTGGTCCTCTTGAATAGAACATGGAAAGCTTTTTGAGATTTGACTGTTGAGGTATTGCCTCTCCAGGTATATTCTGCAGAGTGTCATTGATGGAATAATATTGGTGGTGGATTCATACTGGACTGTCCACACATTACTCCACTTTATCAGTTGTTCTGTGGTGCTTCATCCAAGGTGGGGGGAGGGTGTCTTCACTCCCTCCTGTGGAAATGAGTTCCATAGTTTAACTATGTGCTGCAAAGTACTTTCCTTTGTCTGCTCTGAACCTGCTAATCATTCAGCTTCAATGGTAAAGGAGGATGGGATTTCTAGTCCTGCAAGATACGGAGGGCACCACGTTGGCCACGCTAGCTCTAGAACTGCTTTGCATCCTTTCAAAACAGCTGCAACCTTCACCTCAAATGTCCACTGCTTGCGTGTGCTTGTTCTTGAAGAGATTGGGGGAAGGGACCTTTTCCTGCACACAATGACCACAAAAGCATCTTCCCTCTCTTCCTTGTGGCAAGAACTGACATTTTATACATTAGTGGGCATAGTTAATGCAACTCCTAGGAAGGAAGGACCATGCCAGGCATTTGAATTTAATTCACTGCTGCACCCTTAGGCAAATGAGATCTTCACTTCTTTTCTGCTCCTTCTCTGTTTGCAAGCATGTTTCCTGCCCCCTCCCCACAAAAAAATAAAATCAACAAAATTATAAGTTTAAAGAAAAACCACCCTCCTGCAACTTGACATTTACAATGCCTTTTTTTAAAAAAAAGTTGTCTGTCTCAAAAGCATACAGAGAAAGTACCTAAAAAATGTCCCAGTTTTCTGATATCCAGGTTTCGGCATCAAATGGAAACGATGAGCTCATTATCCTGCTTGACATGTGGGGAGGGTGGCAGCATCTGTGTCTTCCTCTACATAAAGAGCAGCCTCCATAAAACATGGAGAGAGCCAGCACTGAACCAGCTGCTTTACTGCAGGTGAGGGGAGCCTTTTGCAGACTGAGGACCGCATGTCCTTCAGGGCAACCTCCCGAGGGCCACAAGCTAGCAGTGGAGGTGGCCGGAAGCAAAAGTGGGCAGAACGACAAGTTGTAAATCCTGTCTTTTGTACAGTAGACTCCACACAGAGAGAAGAGGGCACAGCTTTCTCTCCCACACCCAGGCAAGCAAGACTCACGGTCAGAGTTCAAGGACAAATTCCAGGCAGGCAAAAACATTGCAGGTGTGATGTGGGACAGGTGAGAAGCGTGATGGAGGATGGGATGCAGCCGGGAGAGAGTCCCAAGGAGCCTTTGGCCTGAGGTTCCCCACCCCCTGGTTTATTGCTCAAAGCAAGTATTCTTCAAGGAAGATGCAGCTATATTTGGCCCGTCGGCAAACTCCCCAGCGTATGTATTCGTGGCTCAGTGTGAAGGTTTTTCCCTCCCTCTCTTCTGAATATCACCTTTATGGCACATTTTTCATACATAACATTCTTAGGCTTCCTAATCCAGTTCTGCTCTTTGTGTCTGGAGCCAGGGCTGGTATGGCTGCTGTGTACCTAGGGAATGTGAGGGGGGTGGAGGGGTGGGAATCTCTTGGGGGCCCAGCTCTGCAATTATTATTCTCCTTCAAAATACTAAAATGGAAGCGTTGTCGATTCCGGTTGCCATGGTGATATTCTCCACGCCGCTCCTCCGTGGGCTGCGTCGGCCCACAGGCCCTGTAAGATTCTCTAACTTAGCCCTTTGTTTTAGTTTGTTTCGGCTGAGGGAGAAGAAGTTCACACAAATTGGCCCGGGGTTGTCACCACATGCAAAAACTCGAGGGTCCTGTCCACACCATATATTTCACAGCCATGACTTCCCCCATGGAATTCTGGGAACTGTTGTTCGTTAAGGATGCTGAGGGATGTTGGCTCCATTTCGTGTGCCTGGTGGCCATGTAGCGTTCTTCATAAGTTCTGGTTCATAAGTGTCCAATGCCATCTCCACCATCGCAGGTCAACAGCTAAATCCAGACACTTCTCTTGCCCCGATCTCTTGAGAAAGCCCCCTCAATCCAGCTTGTATTCTTCTTTCCGCTGGTCACTAGACTCACAATAGCTCAGCAGCGGGAAATCACTTCTGAATTGCCCCTTGAAATGCGGATCAATAACGACTGAAAGATAGCTGTGGGATGTAATCCAGTGGGAGCAGTCAATTACAACATTCCTTGTTTTCCTAGAGTGGACATACAAGGGAATGTTTGGTTCAGCCAGTCAAAACTTCCTGTTCCTTCTGGCCTGGAGCATCCTTCCTTGCATGTGACTAGTGGGTGGGCGTGACCTTTCCAGATCTGGTAAAAGGCCAAGGCATGCTGCCACTCTCTCTTCTTTTCCATCTTCTTTTCATCCTGCAAACTTCCAGGAATAAACTGCTGGCTGCCAGCCAAGCAGTCCCTCAGGTCATCTCCCTTATGGGGCAAACCTGTTTTTATACATTTGTAACTTTAAGCCTTAAGCCTGCCTTCAGGGATCACACTGTGCTCTGCCTGATCGTGAGTAAACTTTCTTTTTATTGCTTATGAATGGTGGTGTCTTTATTCTTTTAGGAGGGATTCAAGGGGCCTTACCAGCAAAATATTAGAACAAACCAGATTGAATTGTGTATTGTCTTAAGAAACTCACAGGAGTTTGCAACTAGCTTTCTACTGTGTAAGGGGGAATGCACTCTGCTAAGTAAAGGAACTTGCTGGTGCAAGTTAGGAAGGATATTAACAAACAATATATCCTCTCCTGCTACCCTGAACATTCCCACAATAGCTTTGTTGGAGCATTTAACCCAACGAAGGAGAGCAACAAGAGGTATTTCTAAGAAAGGCAAGTTTTATGGTGCAGGCTTCCCCCTTCTCCCCCCTACCCTGTTAACAAGGAGCAGCACACATGCATTTCTCCTGTACCTCAAATTCCAATGGGGCGGAGGGGGGTGTTACTCCTAAGTAATCTCTGAGGGGTGCAGATTGATTTACTATGCTTCTGTACATGGTAGGTACCATTTCTACAATTCTGTGATTTGTGTTTTTTTAAAAAAGATATTTATTAAGATTTTCAAAATATTACAAAAGAAAAAAAAAAGAAAAACACAAAATAAAAATAGTTAAAAACAATTCAGTCTTTCAATCACTTATCTTTCATTGGCTTATTTCCCGGACCTCCTCACACCTCCCTTTTCTGTATTCCAATTCAGTTTGTTAGTTCAGCAAATCCCTCCCCTCTTTGTTTATCCTAATCTTCAATCTTAAAGTATTGTAAAATTAGATTTTTACCTATTAATAGTCCATTTTTTCATATTCCCTTATAACATTACAGCTAGAAACCACTTAGTTTCTATCCAACATCATTCTAACATTCATTAATTTTACAATATTTCTGTAAATAGTCTTTAAACTTTTTCCAATCTTCTTCCACCGACTCTTCTCCCTGGTCTCGGATTCTGCCAGTCATTTCTGCCAGTTCCATATAGTCCATCACCTTCATCTGCCATTCTTCCAAGGTGGGTAGATCTTGTGTCTTCCAATACTTTGCAATAAGTATTCTTGCTGCTGTTGTGGCATACATAAAGAAAGTCCTATCCTTCTTTGGCACCAATTGGCCGACTATGCCCAACAGGAAGGCCTCTGGTTTCTTTAGAAAGGTATATTTAAATACCTTTTTCATTTCATTATAGATCATCTCCCAGAAAGCCTTAATCTTTGGGCACGTCCACCAAAGGTGAAAGAATGTACCTTCGTTTTCCTTACATTTCCAACATTTATTATCTTTTTTAAAAAAAAATAATATTTATTAAAGTTTCAAAAGAAGAAAAATCACATTAATAAAAAGATTAACAATAAAAAGGAAAAATACAAAGTAGAAAAAAGAAAAAACAATTAAAAACAATTCCATCTTTTCATCACTTCTTTTACATTTACTTGTTTCCCGGACCTCCTCATACCTCCCTCTTTTGTATTCCAATTCAATTTGTTAATCCAACAATTCCTTTCCCTCCTTTTTAATCCTAATCTTTAATCTTGATATATTATAACATTAAATTTTTACATATTAGAAACCAATTTTTCCATATTCTTTTGTACCTGTACAGCTAGAAACCACTTAACATTTATTATCGGGCAAATGATAGATTACAATTCTGTGATTTGAATGCTTGCTTTAGGACTGGATAGTTTATCTGCATCACATGAGCAACGGGTCCGGAGATGAACTGGCACCCAATGCCAGCTAGGAGGCCTTTAACACAGCTGAGAGTTTCAACCACCAGTTATAGTCAACGTAATTGTTTCCCACACTTTTTTTTGCAAAGAAAAAAGAAGAAAGGAAGGAAGCTTTCCTAATCAGCGAAACATTGTTATTAGAAACCCAGCCCAAGATTCCCAGTGCATCATTCTTTGTGTACACACACACACACACACACACACACTACACAGCCAGTCAATCTCCTTTGCTGAACGTGCCTCCTCAGCCCCCTCATCCTCAGCACTCAGCCAGGTCCCTTGCACGAGCACTTAACACTGAATTAATTAGCACATCAATGGCTGCCTCTTTCCCATTAGTAAGTTCTCATCTGACACTAATTCTCTTTGGGGTGGGTGGGAAGGGAGCCTATTTAGCCCTAACTCATGTAATGGCTTCTGAAAAGTCCTAATGCAATTAGAGAAGTGCATTAAAGACACTTATACTTAAAGAAGTGGCAAAGAACTGCCTGCACCACAGCGACTGTATACGCATGATAAAGTCAGCACAGCAAGCAATGAATCACATTCAGCTGGGAAGCGTCCAAACAACAAGCCTGCTCTGAGGCACCTTCTGTGAGCCCTCCTCACACACCCCTCAAATGCCACGAATTAAGTGGGGCTCCACAAATTCATGGAAGCTGCCCCGGCTTCTGTTTGAAGACTGGTGTCCTGCTTCTGTCGCCTCCATGTCTCTGGGAAGGCCAGATCAGCAGCCTCCGCCGTATGTTTCAGCGCCACCGTGGCTGACCTCTGCCACCACCATATTCCCAGAAGTGGGCACAGCGCTTCCCGTGGCCGCGGTGAGGCCAACTAAGCTACAAGAAGGCTGAGGACTAGCTTGGGGGTGGGGGGCGGAAAAAGAGGCGGCACAGGTAAAGCGGGAAGGGTTGGCTGGGGCACGAAGGTTGAGCAGGGGAACAGTGTACCAATCAGGCAGGAAAGAGTGTGTGGATCGCATGGGGTGGGTGGGAGAAAGAGCGCACAAAGGTAAATAATAATAATAATAATAATTTTTATTTATACCCCGCCCTCCCCAGCCAAGGCCGGGCTCAGGGTGGCTAACAAGCAATAATAAAAACAAGTTGAATGAATACAACTCAAAAACAAGATTAAAATACAACATTAAGATATTGAAACAATATTAAAATGCAGCCTCATCGCAGGAGAAAGGAAAAAGGAAAAAGAAAGAGGAGGAGGGAATCAAACTGGCTCCAAGCCAAAGGCCAGGCAGAACAACTCTGTCTTACAGGCCCTGCGGAAAGAAATCAGATCCTGCAGGGCCCTGGTCTCATGAGGCAGAGCGTTCCACCAGGCCGGAGCCAGAGGTGAAAAGGCCCTGCCTCTGGTTGAAGCTAATCTAACTTCCTTAGGGCCTGGGACCACTAGGGTGTTGCTATTTATGGACCTTGAGGCTCTCCGTGGGGCACACCGGGAGAGGCGGTATAAAATAAAAGTGTGTGTTTTGTTCCACCCACTTTTCACTTGGCCCTGCCACCATTGGCATGTGGCCCCGGAAGGTCACTCACAATGGAATGTGGCCCTCAAGATTAGAAGTCTTCCTGGATTACATCAAAGTTCCACTCACTACAGGCCTCCCATCGCCAACCTGAGCTATTGCTATGAGAGAGATTCCCTCTCCTTTGCCCTTAAAATATGATAAACAGAAGCGCGCCACTGCTGCACATCAATCTTCCATTTTTAGCTGTCACGGCTAATAGTCATTGATAGGCTTATCCTCTGCGAATTTGTCTAATCCTTTTTTAAACCCATCTAAGCTAGTGGCCCTCACCAAGGAATTCCGTAAGTTAATTAGGCAGCGCATGAAGAACGGGCTTCCTTTTATTCTGACGTGCTCATGGGATTATCAGATTGTTAAGTGCCTCGGCAGATAGAAAGCTGAAATGTGTTATACACAGTTCGAGACATTCCGATTACTTGAAAAAGTCTGGGAACGAGACGCTTGGAAGTTTGTCAGCTGAAACCTGGAACACGGAAGCTGGCTGCATGAGAGAAGCCGGCATTCCAGTGGGGAATGAGCCGACCTGCTCATAGAACGCAAGAAGGTGATGAATAGTAACAGAATCACAGAACTGTAGAGTTGGAAGAGACCTCCAGGGGACATCTAGTCCAGCCCCCTGCAATGCAGGAATTGCAGCTAAAGAATCCCTGGCAGGTGGCCATCCAACCTCTGCTTTAAAACCTTCAACGGAGGAGGGCCCACCACCTTCAGAGTCTCGACCCAGTATACCTGAAGGAGCGTCTCCACCCCCATCGTTCTGCCCGGACACTGAGGTCCAGCGCCGAGGGCCTTCTGGTGGTTCCCTCATTGCGAGAAGCAAAGCTACAGAGAACCAAGCAGAGGGCCTTCTCGGTAGTGGCGCCCGCCCTGTGGAACGCCCTCCCAGCAGATATCAAAGAGGTAATCAACTACCTGACATTCAGAAGACATCAGAAGGCAGCCCTGTTCAGGGAAGTTTTTAATGTGTGACATTTTAGTGTATTTTTGGTCTTTGTTGGAAGCCGCCCAGAGTGGCTGGGGAAACCCAGCCAGATGGGCGGGGTACAAATAATTATTATTATTATTATTTATTATTATTATTATTATTATTATCATTATCATCATCATCATCATCATCTAGGTGAGCGTGGGGCTCCACTGGGACAAATAGGGTTTGGTCATCTTCCACCTGCCTGCCTCCTTCCTTACAACCAGCTCTACCTGTCAACTTCCTCCTCCAAAGTTCTGCCCTTGTAGAAGCTCCTACTCCTCCCAGTTTTGCCAGCCTATCTGTGTTCCCCCCCCCCCCAGCAGATTTCCCCGCTTTGGATTGCTGTGTAAACGCTTACGTTATTAATCCTATAGCCGTCGCGTTCAGACTAACCAAGAAATCAATCATATGTTTTGAGAGCTAATAAGAAAAT